GCAGTCCAAGCCACGCACAATACGGAAGGTTTGTATCAAATCTCCGCGTAACGGCCTATAATTCAGAGGATAGAGATTAAGGCTAATGTCAGTAAACAGGAGCCAGTAGGTGTAACCGAGAAAAGAAAGCAGAGTGTGAAAAAACTCCTAAGACATGGCTCAGTATTCAAAAATGGAATGTCATTTGCGGTTTTTTAGGAGAAAAACTATCGCTCATGGGAGAAAATTGTGTGAAAGGTAGGACCGGCATGCTGCTGTGAATGTTAACGGCAAACCAGGGGCCCATCACAGTGGTCAAATGGTGTTAGAGTGAGCAGTACTATATCAATCTAGTTTCTTCGTAAAGATTTCAAAGGAATTGGACCTAACAACATCCAGGGGCAGAGCATTCTAAGCTTCAACCACTCTATGACAAAAGAAGAACTTTCGTGTGTCTAGTCTGGCCCCTGTTACACATAATTTGAATGGATGACCTCTTAGGTTCGTATTTGTTGCTAACTCAAATTAGTCGCCAGGTAGAAGACAGCAGTCCTGACCTCGCATTATATGAAATGTTTGCATCGGATCACCGCATAGCTGCCTGTAACTTAAAGGGAACAGGTCGAGATAAGCTAAGCGTGTTTCATAGGATAATTAGCCCTGTCCGGTCGCAAGTTCATCTGCACGCCTTTTAACCTTCTCTAGGGAATTAAGGTCTTTCGTGGTCCAGGTTCTCCATGCTTGGATAGTGAACTCCAGTTTCGGCTGCACAGATGTTCCAAAGACCTTAGCGAAGCAGTCTTTATGAAAGACACAGAAAGCCCGTTTTAAAAGATACAGGATGGACATCGCAGACTTGACTACATTTGCGCAATGCATCGAGGGCTTAAGGGACGTCGGGATCCACAATTCCAAATCTTTCTGCGCGTCCACTACTTGCAGCTGGATGCCATTCAGACTATAAACCATGGGATTCTGAGAGCTGGGTCGGTCAACTCGTACGATACTGCACTTGCTCTCATTACAAGGCAAAAGCCAGTCAAGTTTGAAGATGATTTAGATTTACCTGTAAACGCTCTTCGTCAGCTGCATTTCTGTTGACTTTCCAAATCTTAATATCATCGGCAAACATAGTCACGTGACAATCCAGTTCACGGACGCAGTCGTTGACGTACCTAATGAACAGTATAGGGCCAAGGACAGTTGAGCCTTCTGTTCAACGAATACGAGAACAACACTGCATTATCTGGTCTGTAGATCACCAAAATTTTCTCCCGATTCCGTAATCACAGTCTCATATCGAGAACTAACTGTCGGCGTTTAATCTTCTCTGTCGGCAAATAGTCCGGTTGAAAAAAAACTCCGCAATTGTTATCCTCGATTCTGAAACGTTGTGCAAGAATGAGTTTGACTTGTTCTTGATTTTCTAACACTACTTTTAGTGGTCGGGGACTTGTACGTTCTGATATGTCATTTGAGCACCTTTCGCATCTCAAGTGCTTTAATACATCGACCACCTCGGTCGGCCGCAGGAGCTTGTTGAGGAGATCTTGGAAAAGCTTATGGTCTGCCAACTCCCGATCTGTGAATGTCTTGGCCTCGCATTCTGGAAGTCAATGTATTATCAAATTTTGCGATCCGTCGGGCGAACCTCTCGATATTACCGTAATATCGTGCTCAAGGTAAAATAAAATTTGCCTGTCATGGCGTTACGATGGCTTATGTACAGTCTGAGGTTTTTTTGAACTCTATTTTGGTGGAACACCCACTTACACGTGCTGCCTCCAATGTCTGGCGTGTTGCTGATGGATATTGCCCATAAGTAGCGTGTACTTGGCTAATGGTTTTGCTTAAATAACTGCAACAGTGAGTCTTCCCTACGTCACTCGTTGGTGTAGTGGACCGGGTATGAGCCCTATCCCCGCCGGGCTTTTGCTGACATTTGACTCTTCTCCAAGTTTAGTAGCTCAAGTTCAGTAGCCCGATTTTCAACCCTATTCAATTTATTTGTTACGTGAATATTTTGGGCGTAGCAATTCGAGAGGAAATGTTTAAAAGGATTATACGTTTCTTGTCTTTCAGAGTGTTTAGATTATTCCTAACAAGAGGTCCGTGTGAACTCTCAGATCATGTTA